CTCATAGGCGATGTGGACCACAACAAACTAGCTAACCTTGAGAAGAATGGGAATCCCAGAACACTTGATTGTGCTCATGAGAAACTTTTCCTTGGACCAGGAGGCAGTCGTCAGAACAGAGTAAGGAAACACTGCATGGTACAAAATTAGAAAAAATGTATGCCAGGGATGCATCCTAGCTCCATACATTTTCAATCTGTATGCAGAACAGATTATCTGAGAGGCTGGATTTTAAGAGGAGGATTATGTCATCAAGTTTGGAGGAAGATTCATCAACAACCTGTGTTATGCAGACGACAACTTTGCTTGCTGAAACCAAGGAGCACCTGAGGTGCTTGCTACAGATGTTCAAGGACTGCAGCCTTCAATATGGATTGAAGCTCAGCATCAAGAAACAAAGACTCTCACCACTGGGTCAAATGGCAGCACCATGATAGACCGAGAAGAGATTGAGATGGTTAACAGCTTCAGCTTGGCCTGGTTTCACAGTGAACCCTCTTGGTACCAGCAGCCAGGAAGTAGAAATTGAAAGACGAATTATATTTGGGAAATCTGCTATGAGGGACATCTCTAGAGTACTGAAGAGCAACAGTGTCAGTCTAGAGACTAAGATGAATCTGATCCAGGCCATTATCTTTACAATTACTTGCTATGCATCAGAGAGCTGGACAATGAATAAGCATGATAGAAGCAAAATTGATGCCTTTGAGTTGTGCTGGAGAAGAGCATTGAACATACCATGAACTGCTAAGAGAACAAACAGGTCTGTCCTAAAGAAGATAAAATCAGGCTGCTCCTTGGAGAGAGGATTTTGAAGTTCCCGTCTCACATGCTTTGGGCATGTTGCAAGGAGGGACCAGAGAAAGACATCATGCTTGGAAAGGTAGAAGGACAGTGTAAAAGAGAACACCCTGGATGAAATAGATGGAGTGACTCAGTGACTCGGGTAATGGAGATAGATATATCTGAGCCAATTAAATTGGCTCAGGATAGAGCAGGATTCAGAGCTGTTGTACATAGGGTCAATATGAGTCACAAGCAACTTGACCACACATAACAACTCAGAGGCTGGTGATTCAAACCCACATAATGCTCCTTGGGAGAAAGCTGGGCAGTCTCCTTCTTTAAAGCTTTTTTTTTTTTTTTTTTGGTGGAGAATGCGGGCAAAGCTTTTGGCTTCAGTAAACTAATGGAGGGTTGTTATGAGTCACATTCAGCTTGGCCACAGTGGATTTGATTTTTGGTTTTATATATTCTTTAAGGGACCCTGTGGAACAGCAGTTAAGAACTCAGCTATTCATGGAAACAGGATTCTTCCAGAGAAAGACCTGGAAATATGCTTCCCTGAAGATAAAAGTTAAAAATCCTATGGACAGCTCAGGTCTGCCACACAGGGTCAGTCTGAGGAGGAATCAATTTGACGTGACATAACAATAAACAGCATTTATTCATTATTAAGTATTCACAAAGCTAATGAGTCTAATTTTTCAACCTAGGTTTTTATACATTTGGAATTAAATGACCTAGGTTTAAAATACAGCTCTGCTAATTAGCTTGTGATACAAGGCATATCATTTCACTTTAGTCAGTCATTCATTCTGTCAACACATAGTTATGAAATGCTTTGAGCTAGAAACTGGGGTATGATAAAAAGCCAGACGTGGTCTCTGCCTTTATAGGACTTTCTTAATAATTAATATTGACATCCCTAAAAAAAAAAATAGCTCACTGCTATCAACTAGATCCCAGCTGATGGAGACTCCATTGGGTTTCTGAGACTGTTTAATTGAGGAGACTACCCATCTTTCTCCTGAGGAGCAACTAATGAATTTTAATTGCTGACCTTTTAGTTAGCCCAACATGCAATACAATACACCATCACTAGAACACCTTAATGCAGATTGTTGTTATTAGGTGCTATTCAGTTTATTATTATTCATAGCAAACCTATGAACAGCTGAACAGAACCCTGCTCTATCTTGTGCCATCCTCATTGTCTCTGACACCCTTGAGCCCATTGCTGAAGTCACTGTGTCAGTCCATCTCATTGGAGGTCTTCCCTCTCCTTCACTGACCCAACATCTTTCCAAGAATGATGTCCATTTCTAGTGAGTAGCCTAACTAGCAATGTGTCTGAAGTATGAAAGACGAAGCTTCACCATCTTTGCTTCCAAGGACCACTCTGGCAGCATTTCCCTCAAGACTTATATGTTCTTTTGACAGTCCATGGATATTCAGTACTCTTCTCTGGCACCACAGCTCAAAGGCATCACTTCTTTTTCTTTCATCCTTATTCACAGTCCAACTCTTTGATGTGTAGCAGGTGATAAAGGGACGACAGCTTGAGTAAGGCACACCTTCGTCTTCAAATTGACAACTGACTAATAAAATAGAAAATAATTTATGTGAGGTTGTTTTGACTTTTTTTCATTTATAAAGTAGGACTTTATAATTTATATGAAGATTAAATGACATAACCATTTTTTATTAAATGTGAAAGATCTTTGTAAGTGATCACATATTATTGAGATGGTATTGGTATTCTTATGTACCTTTGAGTTGAATATGACTCTTACCGACCCTGTCCTGAGCCAACTTCACTGCCTCTGACACACCTGCCCCCGTTACCATAGTCGCTGTGTTAATCCATTTTATCTAAGGTCTTCCTTTCCTGTGCTGGCCAGCTACCCTTCCAAGCATGATGTTCTTCTCCAAGAACTGGTTGCTCTTGGCAGCATGCCCAAAGTATGTGAGATGGTGCTTCAGAATCCTTGCCTCCAAGAAGCAACCCGGTTTCAACCTCTCCAGTACAGGACATCTTTATTATTACTGTCAAGAAATAAATAATTACTCTTTTGGCATTGTCTAATTGGCAATCATTTGGCTTTGTTTTATTAAAACCCATGAACTCCAAATTTATGAGAAATTCTCACTTCATTCAATGATGTCATCTCAATATAAGATTGAATGGAGAATTAAACCTTGTTAGGTAGGAGAATTGTAATGTTGTACTTCCCCTCCTTGTAAGTACAATTGACTATTTGATGTGCTCCCAAAGCCATTATGTAACCATGAGGGGGTGGGGAGGAAACCATTTGGCAGACCTTTGGAAGTACAGTGATTAAGCATTGTCCTGATAATGGAAAGGATTGATGGCCCTTTTAGCTGACCTATGAAAAGAAAGCATTTATAGTTACTTAAATGTTAAGTATAACCATTTTCTATCAAATATAAAAGAGCTCTGAAAACAAGTCTTATTGAGATGTAGGAAATTTTTATTACTATAAAAAATAATTATTCTTTTGACATTATCTAATAGGTAGCCATTTGGTCCTATTTTGGATTTTTTAAACTTTTTTTATATTCATTCACTGTTGCAGTTTCCTCCCTCCCCCTCCCTTTCTCCTCCTCGAGTCCACTTTGCAATGCACCTCTTATTCCAGGTTGTTGCCATACATATAATGCCTAGTCATATATTCCTTTTAAACAGTTCTTGCCCTTATCTGTCCCAAAACAGTGGGTCATATTTTGAAACTGTTGTATCACATACTTTGGACCTGTTGCTGGGAGAAGTTATTCCTTGGAAAGGGACATCATACTAGGAAAGGTGGATGGTTAGTGTAAGAGGAAGACCCTCAATGAGCTGGATTGATACAGTGACTATAGCAAGTGTGTCAGAGATGATGAGGATGGCACAGGATAGGACAGGGTTCAGATCTGTTGTGCATAGGGTCACTATGAGTGGTGCTCTACAGCATCTAGCAATAACAACAACAAAATTAAGTATGTAATAACCTTTCATGTTGGTCATATTTAATATTATATGCTAACATTTATTATATCTGAGCTCAAAAGCCTTCTAGGTAGGACATTGTGCTGCTTATCCCAAAGGCCAAGCCTCTGGCAGTTTGAATCCACCAGTGGTTCTATTAATTTACAATTTCTGAAACCTGACGGAGGCTCAGCTATGAGTCAGTTCCAACTCTACAGCAGTGGATGAATATCACCACTTGTATGATATTTCATATTATTATCTTACTTTCCCCAGATCTTCAGTAACTGTTGGATATATATTGTTATGTGCTGTCGAGTTGCTTGCAACTCATGGCAACCCTGTGTACAACAGCCCTAAACCCTGTTCTGTCCTGTGCCAGTCTCACAGTCTCTGACACACTTAACCCCATTGCCCCAGTCACCTCATAGAGGGGCTTCCACTCCTGCACTGTCCCTCCACCCTCCCAAGCATGTCATCCTTCTCCAAGGACTGGTCCCTCCTTGCAACATGTCCAAAGTATGTCACACAAAGCTTCAGAATCCTTGCCTCCAAGGAGCAGCCTGGTTTAACCCTCTCTAGGATGAACCTGTTCATTTTCTTAGCAGTCCATGGTATATTCAATACTCTTCTCCAACACCACAGCTCAAAGCGATATAGATAGATAGATAGATAGATAGATAGATAGATAGATAGATAGATAGATGATAGATAGATAGATAGATAGATAGATAGTCTTATGTTAAAAGCATGAACTTTGTTATTAATCCCTACACTGCAGTTTGCACATAACTTTATTTTTTGGGGACAAGTTCTGTTCCTTTAGCACAGAAATAAGTTTCATAATGGTACCTGCTTTAGGAGATTGTTGTTAGGTTTTCTTCTGTTCTCCATGGTAACCCTATGTACAATAGAAGAAAACCTGCCTGGCCCTGTGCCATCCTCATAGTCTCTGCCCATTGTTGAGGTTGCAGTGCCATCCTCATTGTCTCTGCCACTGTGAGGTTGTAGTGGGTGTTAAGGAGTGTATGAAGAGATTAATACTGTCTTAGTCATTGTAAGTGCTTCATAAATACTGTTAGGTATAATTATCATTAAACCTGGTGCTCTTTCCATAAATCCTTTGTTACCTTTTAGCAGATGTTAAACTATCAGTAGAAGAAGAATGATTTTTGAATATGCATCTGCTTTCGTTTTAATGATTATTTTTGTCTCCCTGCTTCCCTAGGTTTAGTGAATATAGGTGTGAATAATGTCCAGGAGTTGATTGTTGCAGCAGACATGTTGCAGTTGACAGAAGTTGTTAATCTTTGCTGTGAATTTCTGAAAGGACAAATTGATCCACTGAACTGTATTGGGATCTTTCAGTTCTCTGAACAAATTGCCTGCCATGATCTTTTGGAATACACAGAAAACTATATTCATGTTCATTTCTTGGAAGTTCATAATGGAGAAGAGTTCCTGGCACTTACAAAAGATCAACTGGTCAAAATTTTGCGAAGTGAAGAGCTTAGCATTGAGGACGAATACCAGGTTTTCTTAGCTGCAATGCAGTGGATTCTGAAAGATCTGGGAAGGAGAAGAAAACATGTAGTAGAAGTGCTTGACCCAATTCGATTCCCTTTATTACCTCCACAGAGACTTTTAAAGTATATAGAAGGTAATTTCTTTTTTTACTGTGTGTTAAATTAGTTAATAAATTTTCCAATACCAATTTTTTACTCTGTTTGAAATGTGATAGTTTTCATTTTCAGTTCAGTAACAGGTGTTTGTTTTTGTTGATTGCCATTGAGTCAAGCACGACTCACAGCAACTGTGTGAACAAAAGGCCTTGAAGCCTTTCTATAATTATCGTCATTTATCAAAGTTCATAGAGTTTCCAGAGGTGTGTTGTTTAGGAAGTAGATGCCACTCCTGCTTCCAAAACAGGTGTTTAGTAGATGATTATTTATTATAGGTAAGATGTAACTTTCGTGTTTTGTTGGGAGATAGTTTTTCACTATCTTAGCCCTTTATTTTAATCAAATCTTTACATACCTTTCTTGAAATTAATACTGAGAGATATTAATGTTGTAGTTAAAAGTAACTAACAGATCTGGTATACTACTGCTACTGAGTGTTGTACCAATTAATTCAGTAAAAAAATTCTGTCTTCCCAAAATAATCTTAAGGGGGAAAAAATTCTCTATTTCTTATTTGAAAAATTCAGCATTCCCAGACATTTGAGAGAAATGCATATGTTACTGGGGAAAAAAACACCAAACCCTTGATGAATCTTATAAATCCTTTAATTATAAAATCAATTATATATTGATTAACCTTTTAATTATATTTAATTTCTTATTTTCTGAAAATACTTTTTACAATAATATAGAATAATTTTATCTTTATACTTTTTTAAAAAATAGGAGTTTTTAACAACAGACCAAAAAAAAACAACACCCCAGTTTTAGACCTGGCTTTAAGATTTGAAGTTATAAATTTTTCAAGCATTGAAATATTATGATGTGACCAAATTACAATTGATCTTACTATAATTAATATAACTAAGAAGCATTAGAAATCTAATTCTGTGAAAGAGGTATTTTTTTTTTTTCATTTTATTATTTTTTGTTTGTGTACCGTCAAATCAGATCTGACTGGTACAGGAGGAGATTGCTCCTCCTTCTCCAGCAGAGCATCTGGTGGATTCGAACTGCAAACCTCTGGAATTGCAGTGTAGCTTCTTGCCACTAGGCCATCAGAGCTCCAAGAGGTATTTTTGAAGAGTGGATTGCTAGTTTTTGTCTACTCTTACAGTGTTAACAGAACTTTGTAGCTTTTTTTTTTCTTGTTTTAATACCTATTATAAATTGCTAAAAGATGGGGAGAAAAAGGATCCAGATATACTTTTACAGAAATCATATGAGAATTTAGAGATAGGACAATGACACTCATGACTTTTCCCTAGTAGATAGCGAAAGATAAAGTTAATATCTTTTGCTAGGGCCAAAGGGACATGTTTTCCTAAAGCTGCTTGTTACGTACTGTCATGTCAAAACCAACTCATAGCGGATCATCCAGCAGGTTTTCAGAGGCAGCTTGTTATAACATTCAAATCTAGTGAGGTCAACCACCATCTTTGACCTGTTGTTGTTATGTACCATTGAGTCAGAACTGACTCATAGGGACCCTCCTGTGGGTTTTCAGAGGCAGTAAATCAGATGGAAAGAAAAAAAACCAAACCCAAACATGAAAATCTAGTTAAGATTTTAATAGTAAGCTGTACTGTGAACCCAAATGCACATGGTTCAAATCTACTAGCTGCTCCATGGGAGAAAAATGGGCAGTCTCTTCCCATGTAACTTACTACCTCTGAAACCCCCTGGAGGGTCAGCTATGAGTTGATCATATTCTCACTAAATGACAATAACGAAAGAGTACTGTTCTGCAATTTAGCTGATAGTTACCATCTCAGGGTATTTTTCTGGAATAAAAATCAGCAATGAATCAAAGTCAGCCAATTGGGAATTTTAAAAGTTAACTTTAATTTTTTTTTTTCAATGTGGAAGCTTTTTGGAAAAAAGATGGACAACCTATGTAGAAAATTTAAATTCTACCACAAAATTAAGAAAGAGAGCAACACACTTAAGTGGTTTTATGAAATGTAGGGGTGTGTGTGTGTGTGTGTGTGTGTGTGTAAAAAATGTTTTCTTGTGATTTTGGCAAAAATTAACAACAAATTAAGTTCTTATTTAACAGTGTCTGTCCATTTTATTCAGTGACATTGATTACACTTTTTACAGTGGCTTCCCTTCCTATCTTTGGTGTAGAGTAAATGTTGACTGTTAGATCTTATACAGATGGTTGTTTTATAGAGCACAGTACTCACAGTAATATTATTTTATGAGCTCTTCTGTCTTTTGGATGATAGGTGACCAATGAGAGTGGTTTAAGTTCCAAGTTTATAGAGTATCCCAGGACTATAACCTCAGGGATTCCTCTAGTCTTTATGAGTCCATTACGTTTGAATGGTTTTTAAAAATTTAAGTTTTGCTGTACTGATTTCTCCTTTTTTTTTTTAGAGGTCTCTTCTAAATTTAAATTAGAAAGAGAGATTCTTTTAAAACACAGTAATAAATACGGTAGTAATATTAACATTATTCTCCTATATGGGACAATTTCATTCAAAGGTTTTTATCATGTATTGTGACAAAGAAGTGTTATTGTTTATAATGCAAATTTTTTTTTAGAGTTTTTAAAACAGCTACATTTTCTCTTTGCTTTAAAAAAATACAAAACAAAAACATGTGATATTAACCATCCAGGAATAAGAAAACTTTGCTTTTTCCTTTTTTATATACGACTATCCATTTTGGCCCTCAATGGAATGGTCAGTAGTTGTAGCAAGAGTCCATCTAGTCTTCTGTTTAAAAGATAGATGAGACCCTGGTTAGTGCAGACTGTCATTTCTGTAGTCCTGATTTAGTCTTTGAGGTTTTTATTTCTTTTTTTCTTTTTTGTGCTAGGTGTGGAGGGACCAATAGTTAGTTGTATTTTATATGCTGTTTATAAGCCCTTTTTTCCCTTTTTTAACTTTTTATTTTTCTTTGAGTGAAAGTTAGAAGAAAATGGGCTTTCCACTCAATCATTTAGAAAGATTTTGTTCTAGGACATTAATTACAATCCCCACACTGTAACAGAACTCTGCCCTGTGGTTCTTGTCTCTATTTGTCTTTCCTATCTATTCCTACCTTCTCAGATTTATCTTTTGGACAAATACTACCTTGCTGATTCTGTATTATTGATATTCTAAGAAGTGAGTATTTCTCCTTCATAATTGTTCACCTTATGAGCCTGTCTATTGTTTATACATAGGGCATATTGTTTGGTCAAGAAGCAGTTGTCCAAACAGAACAAAGTTTGAAGTCAGGAAAAATGTGTATCAGGGTGTTGTCCTTTTTCTGTTCAACCTGTTCTACCTATTCCATCTATATGCTGAGAAAATCATTTAAGAAGCTGGACTATATGAAAAAGAATGTGGCATCAAGATTGGAGGAAAATTTACAAGCAACCTGCATTACTCAGATGACACAGCCTTGATTACAAGAAGTGAAGAAGTACTGCAAGAGATAAAGACTACAGCCTTTTTTTAAAAAAATTATTTTATTTGTGTGTGTGTGTGTGTGTGTGTGTGTGTGTGTGTACTGTCAAATCGGATCTGACTGGCACAGGAGGAGATTCCCGACAGAGCATCTGGTGGATTTGAACCGTGCGCCTCTGGGATTGCAGTGCAGCTTCTTGCCACTAGGCCACCAGAGCTCCCCTGACTACAGCCTTTAATATGAATTATACCGTAACATCAAGAAAGCAAAAATCCTTAGAACTGGACCAGTTGGCAATATAAGACAGATGTCTCCAAGAAGAGATAGACATCATCAATGATTTAATCCTGCTTGGAACCACAGTCAACAGCCTGGGCAACAGCAGCCAGGAAATTGGAAGATATACTGCATGGGAAATATGGTTTCTGGAACCTCATCGAAGTTCTGAAAAGCAGCAATGTCAATTTGAAGACAGAAATGCACCTGATCCAAACTATGATCTTTTCAATTACTTGCTATGCATCTGAAAATTAAACAGTGAATAAGAATGACAGAAGAATTGATGACTTTGAGTTTTGATGGATTGCCAAAAGGGCATATAAGCAGACAGGATGCTCCTTGGAGGCAAGGATAGTAAAACTTCATCTCACATACGTAGGGCATATTGTTAGGAACAGTCAGTGATGTAAAGGACATCATGCTTGGAAAGGTGGAGGGTCAGCGAAGGAGGGATGGGCCCTCAACAAGATGGATTGATACAATGATTGTAACAGTGAAGTCAAGTATGTTAGAGATGTCAATTCATTGTCATGGGGTCATTAAACACTTAACATCAATAATAACTGTTAAAGAAATAATAAAACAAAAGAGACATCCTTATAGTATTGTCTGCTTTCAACCAAGATCTTCCTAACATCAGCAGTGATAAACTTTATGTCATGCCTCTTCTAAATCCAGCTTAAGCTTTTTGCAGCTTTATGTTTGTGAACTGTTCTAGCCATTTTTGGATAATCTTCAGCAATGTTTTACTTGTGTGTGATTTTAATGATACTGAGTATTTTAATGATACTGGGTATCATTGAAATAATGATTGGGTAATTTCCACATTCTGTTGGATTGCCTTTTGAGGGAATTGGGACAAATAATGTTCTTTTCCAATCAGTTGGTCAGGTAGCTGTCTTCCAAGTTTCTTGGCGAGCATGTGAAAGGCTGCATGTTTTTGTTGAAATGCCTGAATTGATATTCCCTCAATTCCTGGGACCTTATTTTTTATTAGTAACTTTACTGCAGCTTGAACTTCTTCTAATTACCATTGGTCCTGGCTTATGTCCTGAAATGGTTCTGTGTCTGCCAGTCCATTTTTATTACAGTGACCCCCTGTGTATTCCTTTTATCTTCATTTGATGCTTCCTGCATCGTTCAAGATTTTGCCCAATAGCATCCTTCAGTATTTTAACTTGAGACTTGAAATTATTTTTCAGTTCTTTGAGAAATGTCAAGTGCTTCCATTTTCTGTTTCCAGCTCTTTCCCATCTTGTAATACTTTGTTTTGTTTTCTCAAGCTGCTCTTTGAAGTCTTCTGTTTATCTCTTTTACATCAGCCTTTCTTGCCTTTATTTTGGCTTCTAAGTGTTCTGCAATTTTCAGCCTTTCCTGACATCCATTGTGATCTTTTCTCTCTCCCCTCTCTTTGCCATAACCTTTTGCTTTCATCATGGACGATATCCTTGATGTCATCCCAGATCTCATCTGCTCTTTGATCATTAGTGTTCAGTGGCTAAAACCTACTCTTGAGAAGGTTTTTAAATTTAGATGGAATATACTCAAGGTCATATTTTGGTTCTTGTGGACTTTTGATTTTCTTCATCTTCAGATTGAACTTGTATATGAGTAATAGATGGTCTCTTCCATAGTCAACACCTGAACTGGTTTTGACTTCTGATAGTGAGTTTCTCCAAAGATTTTTTACATAGATATAGTTAGTCAGATTCCTGTGTAATCCATTAGTTGAGGCCCATGTGTATATTTTATTTAAAAAGATACTTTTTATATAAAATGAATAAAGCAATCATGTACAAAATTCAGTCATTTAATCTTCAGCCTTGTTTCTATCACCAAGTCCACTTGACTCTGTGGATGGTAATAAATTATGGCTGACATTCAGAAGAAGGAGAATCCTGGAACACTTAATTGTGCTCATGTGAAACCTATGCCCAGATCAAGAAGTAGTTGTCTGCAGAGCAAGGAAACACTGAATGGTTCAAAATCGGTAAAAGTGTATGTCTGTATAGTATCCTTTCTTCATATCTATTCAGTCTGTATGCTGAACAAATAATTTAAGAAGCTTGACTTTATTAAGAAGAATGTGGCATCAAAACTGGAAGAAAAGGCATTAACAGCCTGCGTTATGGAGAAGACATACCCTTGCTAAAAGTCTTGCAGCAGAAGGTCAAGGACTGTAGCCTTCAATATGGATTCAGCATCAAGAAAATAAAAATCCTAACCACTGGGCTAATAGGCAGCATGATGATAAACGGAGAAAAGATTGAAATTGTCAGTCATTTCATATGCCTTGGATCCAAAAGTTGGACTATGAATAATGATGACAAAAGAAGAATCGATGCCTTTGTGTTGTAATGTTGGAAAAGAGTACTGAATAATCCGTGGAGTACCAAAAGAACAAATAATTCTCTCCCAGGAGAGCATTGGGCAGTCTTCTCCCATTGGGTTGACAGCCTATAAAAACTCCCTGGAAGGTCACCAATGAGTTAGTTATGACTCAGTGGCACATAACAACAAGAATTCTTAAGATTTTATCAGTTGACCTTCTTTCCTCAATATTGCTTCTAAGGCACAGAAAAAAGGAGACAGTCCTTTCAAGCATCTATAAAATCTTTGTGAATATTAGAAAATAGTACTCTCTTTTTCCCTGTTAGTAGATAAACCTAATAGCATGACAATTGGAAATGGGTTTATTATGTTCATCTTCAGTTCTCTTTGAGCATGTTAACAGACTTATGCAGTCATAATCAAGACTCTGTTAGATGGTCCTTATTTCACCAGTATACTTTGTTTCTTGCTTCACGTATCAATTTTAAAAATTTATCTGTCCTTTTTGATATTAATCTATAATTATTGAAATTATCCCCCTCTCACTTTGTTAGGTGTACTTATCTTTATGGAAACACATTGTCCTTTCAATATTATTTCAAGATTGCTTAAAATATTGTCTTTTAATCCTCACTTAGGAGTATCTGATTTTAATCTTCGTGTTGCATTGCAAACACTTTTGAAAGAGTACTGTGAAGTGTGTAAATCTCCCAAAGAGAACAAGTTTTGTAGTTTTCTACAGACATCTAAGGTTCGACCTCGGAAGAAAGCAAGAAAGTACCTGTATGCAGTAGGTAAGGGCTATTTTTCAAAGTAAGAGAAATTATCTTTATGTTCAAGTTCCAAACCTTTTTAATATATTATTGTTACATCAGAGGATATGCAGATATGTCAAATAGGCATATTTAATTTCACATAAAGACCTAGGATTTAAAAGTTGTATTTATATATAACCATGAACATATATAAGAAGAAGTATTTATCTGACATTTATTATTCTGTGACCTAAATCTATCTCTGGTTCTTAGATAATTCAGTCATTGTCTTAATAATAAACTAAAGAAATACTACTTTAAAAGTTAAAATTTTGAATTCTAATGAAAAATTAAATAATTTCAAAATTTTAACAGTTCACAGTATGTTATACTTTATAGTGTAAATGTTTTATATATATATATATATATATATATACTGTATTTATCTACTCTAAGATATTTCTTTCTTACTACAAAGAATTTATACTACATATTTAGATGACTAGTTCTCATGTTTGAAAGTAAAGAATTTCTTTCTCTTCCATTGCTCAGGTGGATATACTAGATTACAGGGTGGTCGCTGGAGTGACAGCAGAGCCCTCAGCTGTGTAGAACGTTTTGACACCTTTAGCCAGTACTGGACCACTGTGTCTTCACTTCATCAGGCTCGATGTGGACTTGGAGTAGCAGTCCTGGGAGGGATGGTCTATGCTATTGGAGGTAATAATAAAATGTTTTAGTTCTCTTATTTCAGAATAAGTATTGTCTCAGGACTACCAATGCACTTGATGGAATAATTTAGTATTTTGATATTTAGTTTTGTTGTACTTGCTGATTGTCTACCCAGATGATTGTAATCTTATAAAACACAAGAACCATTTTAAAATAGTTTTTCAATGTCTGGCATGTATTTTATACTCTAATTCATTATTGATTATGTTAATTTACTATAGTTCTTGTAGATGTGAAATCTAATGCATTAGTACACATAAAACAATAAACATTACTATCATTTCATATCATTGCTGATTTCAGAAGGATTCAGATTGAAAACAGAGAAGATGTTTACTTGTGTTCTGTTGACTCTGCAGTGGTATTAGGACTGTGTGGGTCTTAATAATTTATGAGTAATGTTGAGGGGAATAGAAATCCTGAACACTTAATTGTGCTGTTGCAGAACCTGTACATGAACTAAGAAGCAGTTACTCTAACAGAACAAGGGGATACTGCATGGTTTAAAATGAGAAAAGGTGTGTATCGTTCTATCTTTTCACCATACTTATTCAGTCTATATGCTGAGCAAATAATCTAAGAACCTGGACTATATGTAGAAGAGTTTGGCATCAGGATTGGAGGGAGACTCATCAACAGTATACATTATGTTGATGACAGAGTCTTGCTTCCTGAAAGTTAAGAATATTTAAAGCACTCTCTAAAGATCAAAGACTACAGCCTTCAATATGGATTACACTTCAATATCAAGAAAAAAATCCTCACAACTGGACCATAGGGAACATCATGATAGAGAAAAATTGAAGTTGTAAGAATTTAATTTTATTTGAATCTACTGTATCAGTAGTCAAGAAATCAAAGACATACTGCATTTGGGAAATCGGCTGCCACGGGCCTCTTTAAAGGGCTAAAGAACTAGAATGTCACTTTAAAGACGAAGGTGCCCTGACCCAAGCCAGTAAAATTAGCTATCTTTTCAATTGTTTTATAGGCTTGTGAAAGTTGAACAAAGACTGGAGAATAATTTATAACTTTGAACTGTGGTGTTTTTGGTGAATAGGAATGAATATACTATGGACTGCTGAAAGAGGCAAATCTGTTGTTGAAAAAGTATAGCAAGGGTTCTCCTTAGAGGCAAAGATGGTGAAACTTTGGTCATGTTATTAGGAGGAGCCATACCTTGGAAGGGGACATGATATGTGGAAAGGTAGAGAGTCAGAGAAGAGGAAGAACTCAGTAAAATGGACTGGCAAAGTGTCTCCAATAATGGGCTTAAATGCAGCAGAGATTGTGAGGATGGCACAGAATAAGCCAAGGTTTTAATCTGTTGTTCTTAGGGGGTCACTGTAAGTCAAAGTCATTGGCAGCACCTACCAACAGTTTGATAAATAGTAGGATAACCATTTCCCTTTGTTTCTCTTTTTATTTTCTTATCACCAATGTAGGTTATCCTATGCACTATTTTTAAATTTGCCAATTTTTTAACTTTCTTTAAATGGGATATCTAGCTATTCTTGCTCTATTTTACCCAACATTATGTTCCTGAGATTTATTCATGTTGTTCCGCATTCATTGCAGTACAGTTTTCCGTTGTATACCATAAATTATATGAAAATGTGTTAATTAATTCGGTTGTAAAACATTCCAGCTTTTGATTATTAACAGCAATAGTGGTGTCACAATTCTTGTATCTATAAACAGATGCCCTGCCTACAAGTTTCCCTATGGTATATACTTAAGAGTAGGATGTATTATAATGTATTGAGATCTTCAGTTTTACTAGATAATTTCAAACTCTTTTCCAAAATGAGCACATCATTTTATATTTTTCCTGTATTTTCACTAAATCTTAGTATTGTCAAACTTTAAAATTATTGTTTGAGACATAGTGCTATCTTACTGTAGTTTCAACTGCACGTAAATGACATTTAGCAATTCTTCATTGACTTTTGGCCAATTGATTAACATAGTGACTTTTCAGACTGTTTACTTGGTTTTTTAAATGTGTCCATATTATTCATCTATAGATATGGCAAGGGTCTCCAAGGATACTTTCAGGTGGGAAATTTGCTAGTTGGACTCACAGGATTATGCATTTGATTACGTTTATAGCTAAGGGAAAGTATAGCAAAAAAGATATAAAACAAAATCTACAAAGGGAAAAGGCTCAAGATGTGACATCTGGAGTAAACCAATTGAAAGATTTCAAGAGTCCTCTTCCCAGGGAAGTCATAGAGGACATGGTTAATTATTCCAGCAATTAATTATAACTATATATTGTACATGTTATCTACCTGTAAAACTCATTAGAGACTTAGTATTGAAGATTTTAATGGGAATTTGGTAATGTAGACATCTTTAGAGTATTTAACAAAATTCCAGACTCTCAAATGGAAAATAGGTATTTGGCATAAAACTCATTATTTGTTCAAATGGTTTAAGTTCCTTAGTTCCAAAATCAATACTTGGCGTTAACAGTCAAGAAATCAAAAGACTAATTGCTTTGGGAAAATCACCTGTCAGGGATCTCTCCAGAGTGCTAAAGAACAATCATGTCATTCTAGAGACAGGTGCACCTGATCCAGGCCATGGTCTTCGCAGTTACTTGCTATGTGTCAGAGAGGTGGACAGTGGCTAAGGATGACAGAAGAAGAATCAATGCCTTTGAATTGTAATGCTGTAGAAGAGTATTGAACATTCCATGGACTGCTAAGAGATTTGTTTTGGAGAAGGTGAAACCAAGTTACCCTTTTGAGGCAAGGATTTTGAAGCTTTGTCTCACATATATTGGACATGTTTCCCAAGGGGACTGGTCCTTGGAGAAAGACATCATGCTTGGAAAGGTGGAGGGACAGTGCAGGAGAAGAAGACCCTGGATGAGATGGTTTGACACAGTGACTGTGGCAATGAGGGAAAGTGTGTCAGAAATAGTGAGATTAGCCTAGATAGGGCAGAGTTCAAAGTTATTGTGCATAGTGTCACTGTGAGTTGCAGGTGACTTGATGGCACATAACAACAACCATCACCCAAGCAAATGGATGAGAAAAAATATAGAAATACTTAAAAACAGATGGTATTTCCAACTACAATCCCAGAGGCACAGGGTTCGAATCCACCAGATGCTCTGCCGGGAAAAGGAGGGACAATGTCCTCCGGTACCAGTCAGATCTGATTTGACAGTACACTCACATACACACACACAAATAAATAAAAATAAAAATAAAAAAGATGGTATTTCCAAAAATTGCAATTAATTGGTTTAGGTAGTAGTGTTAGAAATAGATAAAATTGGGAATTATCTTTAGTAAAGGGCAGTACTATGGATTCAAACTAAAATTTGCTGACAAAGTAATTTTAATAAAGAGTTTAAAAACTAATGGCTAAATTTCTGATAACAGGGAATAAATGCTTCAGAATGTATTATTATGGTTTTAATCTATTAGTATTATTAAACCTCATGTGGATCTCTTTTCTTTAACTCAGGTGAAAAGGATTCAATGATTTTTGACTGCACTGAATGTTATGATCCTGTTACCAAACAGTGGACAACTGTTGCTTCAATGAATCAACCTCGCTGTGGTTTGGGAGTGTGTGTGTGTTATGGGGCTATCTATGCTTTGGGTAAATATGCTATTCAATTTGAAGATATCTAATATTATTTAAATTGACTAATTTAGAGACTTTCCTTCCTCTACCTAAGAAACTTGTATCTTTTCCTCTTTGTAAATTCTTACTCTCATAGGTAAATATTTTCTAATATGGTGTTTGTAGAAGATGTGTGATATCAATGAAGATATCAATGCAATACTGTACTTAGCCAATTAAAGCTCATTATTTAATGAAGTATATAATATTTGTGCTACTCTCAAGAGTAGAATTATATCTAATATGACAGAATTCCCACTGTGACAAATGGAATCCAATTGATAGCAACCCTCCATCAAGTTTCTGAGGTTGTAAACCTTAATGAGAGATTACAGTGTTCCTCTCTTGGGGCAAGTAGTGGATTCCATCTTTTGACCATTTAGTTAGTATCTTAATATACCACCAGAATTCCTATATATCTAATATAGAAGAACATATATTAAAAAATTAAAGATACTCAGAAGGTGTTTCTGTATTTTATTATTCTCATTATTACAAATACAGTGAATGATATTGAGCACATTATGTTGTTGTTCTTGTTGTTGTGTGCTGTTGAGTCAGAGCTGACCCATAGCTGACCCTCTGGTGGGTTTTCAGAGACAGTTTAATCCCATGGGAAGAGATTGCATATTATAGACCTTCCTTGAGTATCTATATAACAAATGTTACAATCAGGGTTTTGCTTAGGGAAAATTTTAAGTTGACTTAGCCCTCAGCCTTCCCTGTTTTCTCTTTGCCATTTCTTATTCAACTCACTGTTCAGAACTTAGTGTTTTCCTATATCAAACCTACTATTGTGGAAAAGCTGCCCTAGTTTTAATATACCCTATTGTATTTGATTGATTTATGCTGGGAAGCAGGAGTAGCAACCACTTCCTAAACTAGATGCCTCTGGAAACTCTACAAACTCAAAACTACAAATTCTCTAAACTGTATAAATGTATAGAAATGATGTTATTTATAGAACAGAGTTCTGTACAGAAATGATGTTAGTTATATAACAGAGTTCAGGTCTTTTATGCAAAACTTGACAACACTTAACCACTGCTAAATGAAACTAGTGCTGTTTATATATGGAGGAACACTCTTCCACTTTGTAAATCACTCTTTGTCAATGTGCAGTATGAAGTAACCTGGGTTTGCTGGGATGCTGAACCTTGTACCATTGGGATATCAAATACCAGAATGCTTTCCCAATGTAAACAGTGTTTGTTAGAAGTCCCAGTTGTAAAACAGGTTTGGGGGCAGGAGTGGCATCCACTTCCTAAACCACATGCCTCTGGAAACTCTATGAACTTGGAATTGACGATAGTTATGGAAAGACATTAGGTCTTGACATTAGTTGCACTTGACTCGATGGCAATCAACAACATTGTGTTTATCATTTTCAAAAGTATTTGTATATTGAAGTTATACCTCTAATTTTAGGAAATAACAGTTTTTATTTTAATAATTGGAGCATGTTAAGGCTCAGATGGATCCTGGCTGAAAGTAAGAAATACTAGAAGAATGTCTGTTTGTGCTTTATTGACTATGCAAAAGCATTTGATTGTGTGGATCATGACAAGTTGTGGCTGACATGGAGAAGAATAGGAATCCCAGAGCACTTGATTGTGCTCATGAGGAATCTATACCTGGTGCAGGAGGTTGTGGTGCATATGGAGCAGGGCAGTACTGCTTTGTATGGAATTAGAAAGGGAGTGCGTCATGGATGTATTCTATTTCCATACCTGTTCAATCTACATGCTGAGAAAATTATCCGAGAAGCTGGAAGAGAGAGTCATCAATAACCTGCGTTATGCAGATGACACAACTTTACTTGCTGAAGGTGAGGAGGATTTGAAGTACTTGTTGCAGAAGATCAAGGAATGCAGCCTTCGGTATAGGTTGTGTCTCAATGTCAAGAAAACAAAGATTCTTACCACTGGTCCTCTAGGCAGTGTCATGATGGATGGAGAGGAGATTGAAACTGTCAGGAGCTTCATCTTGCTTGAATCCACAATTAACTCCCTTGGTATGAGCAATCAGGAAATAAGGAAATGCATTGCAATGGGAAAATCTGCAGTTAGGGACCTTTCCAAATCACTGAGGGGTAGTGATGTCAGTTTGAGGACTAAGGTGCATCTGATTCAGGCCATGGTCTTTCCAGTTACTAGCTATGCATCTGAGTCCTGGACAATGAATAAGGATGACAGGAAAAGAATTGATGCCTTTGAGCTGTGGTGTTGGAAAAGAGCACTGAACATTCCATGGACGGCCAAGAAAAAATGAATAGATATGTCTTAAAGAGGGTGCAGCCAGAGTGCTCTTTGGAGGCAAGAATGATGAGGCTCACATACTTTGGACATATTGCTATGATGTGCTATTCCTTGGAGAAGGACTTGATGTTGGGAAGGGTGGAGGGTTGACTAAGGAGAGGAAGACCCTTAACCAGGTGGATTGACAAGGTGACTGCTGTAATGGTCTCTTTATGTGTCAGAAGTGTAAGGATGGCAGAGGACAGGACTAGGTTCAGATCTTTTATTCATAGGGTCACTATGAGTCGTACTCAACTCGATGGCACCTAACAACAACAAGAAGGCAATACCATTTTGAGGATGAAGGACCTTTTTTGGAGTCCCTGAAATCACACTAGATAGGTTAGTATACTTTGACTAAGCTTAGACGTTGACTTTGATTAAGGTAACCATTCTGAATATGCAGAAGCTATTTCAAAATGTCATTTTCAAAATACCATATTCACCATGCAATATATTGAAATATATATACAGACATACATATTAGTGTGCGCATGCATGCTTATGTGTGTGTAATTGTATAATTACTAGTAAACATTAACTAGACAATTAAAAGACATGGATTCTAGTTATGGTCCTAATTTTTCTTATGGTTTTAATTTTTTATATGATCTTATCTGTAATATAAGATAGTCAGATTAGATGTTTTATAAGTTCTTTCTCAGAAATAAGGTTCTTTCATTCCAGAAATAAGCATTTTCTATTTGGTTACAGGTGGATGGGTTGGAGCTGAGATAGGGAACACCATTGAACGATTTGATCCTGATGAAAATAAATGGGAAGTAGTTGGCAATATGGCTGTGTCACGCTATTACTTTGGATGCTGTGAAATACAAGGTAATTACTTATAAAATATTTTTACTCAGAATGTTTTTAAAAAACTGTTTGAACTTGAGACTTTCACTCAAGTATCATTTAGGTTAGTATTGAATAAGTGATACTACCAATGTAGAAGTCCTGCTTTTTATCTCATATCATGGACTTTTATTTCTGTGTTGATAAAGTAATTTGTTTTACCAAAACAAAGTTAGAATTAAAATTTCCACATAGGTGAAAATTCTTGCTGGCGAAATAAGAGAGAGCCTAGTGGTACCTAAGTGGTTAGATGCTCAGCTACAAATTGAAAAGTCAGCTGTGTGAACCTATCAGCTACCCTGTGGGAGAAAGATAAAGCAATCTGCTTTCTTAGAGATTTATGGCCTTGGAAGCCCTCTGTGGTGGTTCACAATGAGTTGAAATCATCTAGAAAGCCGTGAGTTTTGGTTTTAACAAAGTAAGCATTTGAACTGGCATTAGTAACTGTAATTTTCTCTCTCATTCAAGCATTTGTATTTCTAAGTAGGGAGAAAATAGAAAAAACAATCTTTATAAATTCTGCCTGTTACAGGCTTCTTCAGCATTTTTATATGCTACATTGTGATTCTATCCTCAATGAATGTAATCCTATGACAAAAGAAGAAACTAACTCAAAAAACTAAAACACAAATAAAACCCACCGCTGTGCTGTCAGTTCCTGCTTGTGGCCTACTTCAGTTTTTTGTTGGTTGGGTTTTTTTTCTTGTTGTGAACCATCAAATCAGATCTGACTGGCAAAAGAGATTGTCCCTCCTTCTCCAGGAGCGCATCTGGTGGATTTGAACCACATGCCTTTGGGATTGCAGCACAGCTTCTTGCCTACTTACGGTTTTTAAGAAAACTGTCTCTCTCCTTTGGAGTGTCTGGCAGATTTGAACTGCCAGCCTTTTAGTTAGCTGCATAACATACTACATACTACAGTACCAGAGCTATTTTATCCTGTGACAGACTTGAAAAAAAACTGTCCCCTTTAGTAAAGTGACATTTAGACATTCATTTTCTCTTACAATGTAAGAGGATGGTTAAGTACTATCAAATAGAATTTGATTCTCTGTCCAGAGTTGAAGACAGATTTATATGCACCCGTGGAATCGGAAGCTGTCTGCCTGTAGGTGTATGACAGCTCAGCCTGCTCAGTACCCAGCTCATATTCCTTCTGCTTTGTGGGTACCTTCTCTGATTCCACTAGCATTTAAATGTTTACACAATACAAGTTGTAGCATATTGTTTAATATAGTAGTGTTCTCTGTTTGTTTTATATGTATTGACCTTTCAGTAGAAAAACCCTAATGCTAGAGAGGATCTTGGAGATTATTTGTTTCAGTTACTTCATTTATACAGTGGACACTGAAGATGTGGGAGGTTGTAAGTTGTCTTTACTCATAGACAGTTACTGACAGAACTGGAACTCTTAACTCAGGTTTACTGACATTTAGCTCAAGTTTGTATTACACTTATAATTTTATAACTCCTTACTTCAGAACATGGGATAGTCACAATGTACTAAAAAATTCTAGGCTTTTGGAATCCCACAATTTACATATTAGTTTCAAACATAAAAATAAGGAATTCTGTCAACTATATTCTTTTGCAGTCTTGTAATTATTTCTTAAAATCTACCCAGGTGACTATTCAAGATCAATTAAATCGTCTGGATTGATTTATTTTTTCTTTTTTTGCTGTATACCATCGAATCACATCCAACTGGCACAGGAGGACATTGCTCCTCCTTCTCCCAACAGTGAACTGCACGCCTTCAGGATTGCAGCACAGCTTCTTGACACTAGGCCACCAGAGTTCCCTTGGATGTGTGTGTGTGTGTGAAAAACTTGTATTTAGAATTAGCTAGCTGGATTCAGGTTAGACGATCCCAGTTTTGTTGGCAACATCCAAAGCATCATAGTCAGGAGCAAGTCGTACATAGGCCTTCTTTCTCTCCATCAGGCTTAATCAAAGTGTTGACCTTAGCCACATCAATGTCATAGAGCTTCTTTACAGCTTGTTTAATTTGGTGCTTATCGGCCTTGACATCCACAATGAACACAAGTGTGTTGTTATCTTCTATCTTCTTCATGGCTGACTCAGTGGTCAGGGGAAATTTGATAATGGCATAGTGGTCAAGCTTATTTCTCCTGGGGGCGCTCTTCCGGGGTGATTTAGGCTGCCTTCGGAGTCTCAGCGTCCTAGGCCACCAGAAGGTGGGTGATGTGCGGATCTTCCTTTTTCTTGGCTGTGGATGCCCTTCAGGACTGCCTTTTTGGCCTTTAATGCCTTGACTTTGGCTTCAGTTTTGGGAGGGGCAGGAGCTTCCTTCTTCACTTTTGGTGCCATCTTCATAGAAAGGCGGATTTATTATTAATAAATTACTTTTGCCCATCTTAGCAACAAGTAGACTATCACCAGACAAGACCATGTCATTCTCAATGTAAATGCATAGCTTTTTTTAAAGGGAAAAAAGAATTCATTTCCTTTCTTCCTTTAAACAGTGGCTTTGGAACCTGAAATCATGAAGTGTGCAGTGAGGACAGTTCTTGTCTGGATAAATTATTTTGTCATAGTATTTATAAGTTCTCTGAAAATTCAATGCCAAATCAAATTCATATACTTAAGTCTTTGTAATATGCTTAAGTGTTGTTGTTGTTGTTGTTGTTATGTGCCGTCGAGTCGTTTGCGACTCATAGCGACCCTATGTACAACAGCCCTAAACCGTGCTCTATCCTGCGCCAACAGCACTGCCTCTGACACACCCATCCCGATTACCCCAGTCACTGAATCAATCCACCTCATAGAGGGTCTTCCCCTCCTGCGCTGTCCCTCTACTCTACCCAGCATGATGTCCCTCTCCAAAGACCTGTCTCTCCTTACAACATGTCCAAAGTATGTCAGACGAAGCCCCAGAATCCTTGCCTCCAAGGAGCAGCCTGGTTTAACCCTCTCTAGGATGAATCTGTTTGTTTTCTTGGCAGTCCATGGTACATTCAATACTCTTCTCCCTCACCACAGCTCAAAGGCATTAATTCTCCTTCTGTCCTCCCTAGTCATTGTCCAACTCTCTGACGCATAACAAGTGATTGCAAAAACCGTGGCCTGTATCAGGTGGACCTTAGTCTCCAGAGAGACACCGTTGCTCTTGAGTACTTTAGAAGGTCCCTAACAGCAGACTTTCCCATTGCAATACGTTTTCTGATTTCCTGGCTGCTGGTGCCAAGAGTGTTGACCGTGGAGTGCTCGGCTCCACAGTCATGCTTAAGTGTAAAATGTGATAAAGTGATTTTCTTTTTTAAATAGTATTACATGAAGATGAAACCTGCACAACTTGATCAAGGTAAATGAAGACACTCAGAAGACAAGAGAAAGAAAGACAATTTTGAGAAATGCTGTAAGATATAAAATTTGGCAGCAACAGTAAAACTATGTGATTACAGAGGTAGATGAGTACGCCTACCTGTGTGTACCCACTGCCATTCAGTCAATTCCAACTCATGTTGACTCTCCACTGGGTTTCTGAAGCTATAGATTTTGGAGCAGACTGCCACATCTGTATTCCTTGGAATGGATAAGGAATTTGAACTACTAACCTTCTGGTAACAACTCGCTACACCACGTGTTGTTATTGTTAGGTGCCATCAGGTTAGTACGACTACTCATAGCAACCCTATAAACAACAGATCTGAACCCTGTCCTATTCTGTTCCACCTTCATCATCTCTGACACACTTGAGCCAATTGCTGCAGCCACTATGTTGAACCATCTTATTTAGGGTCTCCCCCTCTTTTACTGACCCTCCACATTTCCAAGCATGTAATTTTCCAAGGAATAATTTCTCCTAGGAGCATGCCCAAAGTAGGTGAAATGAAGCTTTGACAGCCTTACTTTTAAGGACATTCTGCTTGCACTTTTCCATGACATATCTTTATTTTTTTGGCAGTCCATGCGTTATTCAGTACTTTTCTCCAACACGATAAGTCAAAGTCATCGATTCTTTTTATGTCATTTTTATTCACTGTCCAACTCTCAGAGGCATACCATGGCCTGAATCAGATGTACCTTAGTCTTCACACGAACATCATTATTCCTCAGTATTTTGGAAAGGACACTGACAGAGGACTTCCCTAATACATCTCTTACTATCTATACACTTAAGGATGTCTTGTGAATACAACTGTTATTCAAATATCTGTACCAACCACAGAAGCCAAAGTTTAAGAAATTGAGAGTTTCTACCACCTTTTTCAGTTTGAAATTGATTGAACATGTATTCAATATGCAATTTTTAAAAAAATAAAATTATGAGGAAGCTCTGGTGGCCTAGTAGCAAGAAGCTGCACTGCAATCCCAGAGGTGTGCGGTTCAAATCCACCAGATGCTCCGCTGGAGGAGGGACAATCTCCTGTACCAGTCAGATCTGATTTGATGGTACGTGCACAAAAAATAATAAAATAGGGGGAGCTCTGGTGGCCTAGTGGCAAGAAGCTGCAACTACAATCCCAGAGGTGCATGGTTCGAATCCACCAGATGCTCTGCCGGGAAGGAGGGGCAATCTCCTCCTGTACCAGTCAGATCTGATTTGACAGTACACG